GGAGAAAGCCCAGGGGTATGGGCTCCCAGTCCCCCCCCCTCCCCGCCCTCACTCCCCAGCCCAACTCTCGCCCTTCCCCAAGACCCCAGGCATCCAGTCTCCTAATCCCCCCAGCCTGGGAGAGAAAGAGATCAATATTGTAGAAAAGGGGTGAGCGTGACAGAGATCGAAGGGGTGAGTGTGAAAGAGGAGGAGGGATGGGGGCAAAGTGTGAGAGAAGGGATGGGTGTGAAAGAGGGAGAGAAGGGAGGATGGACAAAAGGAGTGAGAGAGTGAAGATGTGAGCGTGACGGATGGAAAGGAGGATGAGAGAGAAGGAGAGATGGAAAAGAGTGAGACAGAAGGTGAGTGTGAAAGGGAGAGGGATGCAGAAGAGTGGCATGGGTGTGACAGGGATGGAAAGGAGGAATGTGAGACTGAGGGAAGGGATGAGTGTGAGAGGCAGGTGAAAAAGTGCAAAGGAGTGTGTGTGAAAGGGAGAGAAGGAAGGAGACGAGTGTGAGAGAGAAGGAGTGAGATGACGGAGGGATGGAAAGGAAGAGGGGGAAGAAGGCAACGAGTGAAAGTGATAGGTGAGAAAATGGCATGAGAGAGAAGGGTGGAGTGTGGATGAGCTGGATGGAGGAAATGAAAGAGGGAGGAGACGGAGGAAGAGAAGGGCTGGGTGGGAAGGAAGGAAAGGAGGGAGAGTGGAAGGGAGACGGGAGGAGGAGTGCAATGGGGAGGAAAGGGGGGAGTGTGGCAGAGGGAAAAAGGAATGAATGTAAGAGATGGAGCATGGAAGAGGAAAAGGAGCGTGGAAGGGAGGGAAAGGAGAAGTGAATGAACAGAATGAAAGAAACAAGGGATGAGAACGAGGGAGAGGGAACGAGTGAGCGAGAGAATGGAGGAGCGCGACAGAGAGGACGGAGGAAAGAAAAAGAACGAAGGAATGAAGGGGAAATGCCAGGGAGGAGTGTTTAGGGGGAGAGTAAAAGGGAGCGGGGAAGGCCAAAAGGAGGAGGGCAGGAAGTGGAGAACAAATGAATGCAAGAAAGAGGAAAGGAGGAGTGCAAAGGGGGAGAGAACGTGGGAGCAAGAAAAGGACAGAAGATGAGTGCAGAGGAGGGAAGGAAGGAGAGACAGAGAGAGAGGGGGAAGCCACAGAGCGAGGGAATAAGAGAGGCAGAGAAAGGAGGAGTGCAGAGGGAGCAAGCAGGCCTGGACGTGAACGAGGGAAGGAGAAAAAGGAGTGCAGAAGGGCAGGAAGGACAAGCTGGGCCGGAGGAGCGAGAGAACGAGAAAGGGGCAGATGGACAAGTGTGGCAGGGGGAAGGTGTGGAGAGAATCGGAGGGCAATGGGGAAGAGTGAAAGAAAGAG